CAGTTGCAGATAGGCATACACACTCGTCCGTCCATGGTGCCTTTGGAGATCACACTCGAGCCTACACCGAAAGACGGCAAATAATATATCTTAAGGAAATTTATGTTTATCAGCCTGTTCAAAATAACGTTAACGTTATTTTAGACATCGTTCGTGTGAACTTCGAACCTGTCCTGTAATCGGGCGTAACCTGCCTGCATCTGCTGAGTTGCAACACCCTACAAAAGCACATGCCTGCAGGTAATCCGAATTGTCGTAAAAAATCATCACGTGAAAATACTAAATTTGGCAAGCCTATATTCCCATCTGTTATGCTTTATGCTTATTTCTCAGCTACTGGCACAGTTAAAGGATACAGGACTATTATTTAATTATGGAGTAGATTGCTTACCTATTAAAGAGGAGACCTCCACTTAACCACAAAATGGAGTTAGATAATGCAAACGCTTAGCCTGCTAACGGCAAATTGAACCATGCAACATAAACAAATAGTACAACTTGAGCTCTTACTAAAAATCATTTCCTCCTTTGATAGGATAACACAGACTGGTAGATGGAGGTGAGAAGGCAGAAAGCAAGATGAACCCCGATGTGCTCCAGGTCTCAAGCACTTAGCTACTCGGAATAGCATAAACCCAGATTAACACGCCCTGCTGGGATCTAGGGAACAATCTGCAGAGACCAGGATAGAGCTAGATACTGTAATAAGCCTATCGGTAGTGTATATATGGCAAACGTTACGACATGAAGGCACCCATAAGCTAATCATTTTACCTCATACAGATTTGGAGTGCACACTGGGTACCGACTTCTTAAAAAGCACACACACAGGTCGTACTATAATCGGGATTGCTCGACACTAATTTCAGTCAGTAAATACTGCTAGGCATTAGTCTGGCCGTCCCCACTGTTATATTTATCTGCAGCCGACTCCTTACGCGTATAGTTATCTACTCTTTAGATCAAATACGTCTACAGTTTCCTATGAACTATACGAACTAAAATCACTAATATTGCACTTTTCCTGCAGAAATATATTTTTGTCCTCCAGGCCCGTACTTGTAGCCCACTTATCTCGAAAGATGATCATCTGTAAAATCTGAGCTAAAGCTAGTTACTGTAGAAATTCAAAGGTATCCTGGGAGTAATGACAAATGCCACTTTGTTATGATCCGAATGCATGGTCGATCTTCAGCTATTATCAAATACACGTTCCTTTATGCCTTAAGCCTACTAACATCTACATCTACGCTAGGATTGCCAAGAAGGCTAAAAAATTCTATATGCACGTACAGGACACACTGCGGTCTACCATTTACTGGCTTTAGCAAGTATGATTACTATAAGTAGCACACTTAGCATAGGCAGAAGTATCCAGAAAAAACGGCATGTCACCTTGTTACGACCTAAATGCATGGTGGATCTTCAGCTCTTATTACGCATACACTTCTTTAACCTCGAGCTTACTAATATCCCCTGATAGTTTAAGACTGCAAACAAGGTTAAAATTTCAAACATGCACGTACAATTTTAAACAAGTGTGATTACTAGAACTTGCGTTATATTATAGGCATAACAGTTCTAACTCTAGTATCCTGGTAGACCTACTAGTGTACACATAGGAGAAAACCAGGCAATGCACTAGTGTGTTCTGAGCTCCAAACACCTGCTCTACTGGGATAGTAACAATTCAGTTCATTACTCCTATTTGAGATCCAGGGAATACGCTCCCGGACCTGAGTCTAATCACTGTCATTTCTGACCAAATATTAGCAGCACTACAATCACTCAGATACACCGCAAGAAGCAGCAGCATAAACAGTAGTTGCAGTAATAGTAATATGGGACTTGGCGCCTCGAACATTTCTGGGCAGCTACTATGGGTGTGTGTGGGTAAAATTGCAGAAGTACCAGCGCAAAAGGCTACTGTAGCACCATGTTACATGACAGAACCTGCTATGTTAATTAATTACGTCCCGTTAACAATAAGGTGGCACAGCCCAATGCATAGGTTTGAGAGGGCGGAAACCAAGGAAAGCCCTAATATTGTAGTATCAGCACTTTCCTTAATATTAGCAGCATCACTAATACTGCCCTTTTCCTATTGCACTGACTTAGACTGTTTTGTTTTACCTACCTGGTACTGTATAGTCATACATCTACAGATATATACTGTAGTAGGCATAAATGTAGTCGACTGGCGCAAACTGCTCGACATTATAGCATGCTAGGACTTGAGCACTACTTTACGAACGCTCTATTATTATCCATTTGCTAATCAGTAGTACGTCACACAGATTGGGAGTGCATACTGGGTGCCACTTCTTAAAAAGCACATACAGGCAATACTTATAGTATACTATCTACTAGCCTTAGTAAGCATAACTATTATAAAACTGGCACTTTAGCATAGACACGTACCTATAGCAGCAGTATCTTATTCCGTACAGCTCGATGGATGCATCTGCGGAAACCAAAGCAAACGTTGCTGTGCTCAGGGCTCCAAGCATGTACTTAATCGAAATAGTTTAGCCCCAGATTCACACTTCTTGCTGAGACCAAGGAGATTTAAGTCCTAGCGTTGGCTTAACCAGCGTCACCTCTGACAAATGGAGGCACCAGTGCTTGCACCCGTACTACTTCACTTCTTGTTGACAGTGAGGGTAAATGAGCCCGGTGCTGACTTTTATCAGCGTCACTTCTGACTTACAGTACC